TGTTTGTGGTAGGACAACCATTTGGAGAAATAAGAAGAAAGGCCTACTTAAACCACTGCCCATACCATCACAAATATGGCAGGAAATATTCATGGACTTTATAACTGGCCTTCCACCTTCTGGACCTGAAAAAACAACAGTACTCTTAGTTATAACTGACAGATTAAGCAAAGGGCTCATTCTAGTTCCAGTACCACCAGAAAAGTTTGATGCAGAGGGACTTGAAAAACTGTTTTTCGAGTACTACTTACCACACCAGTGGATTCCAAAAGCAATTGTTTCTGATCGAGGTACTCAATTTTTGAATGCTTTTTGGAAAGTAATATGCCTCAGACTCAATTTCAATCAGAGAATTTCGACAGCCTATCACCCAGAGACAGATGGATCAACCGAAAGAGCTAATCAAGAGGTAGAGACATATCTGAGGACATTTATTGCCTATAAACAGACAGACAGGAAAGATTGGATTCCATTGGCCCAGGTTTCAATCAATAATAAGACAGCAACAACAACTCAAGTAAGTCCATTCTTCATGATTCATAGGTATGATGCTAGCTTCATTTCAATAACTAAAAGTGAGACTTCAGCACCAGGAACATCAGCTTTCAGAGGACAGCAGGTTGTTGAGAAGCTTCAAGAAGCTCATCAATTTGCACAAACTTCAATGACAATTACCCAACAGTCTCAAGAGAAATATGCAAATAACTCAAGAGATGTTGCACAAAGCTATCAACCCGGAGATAAGGTCTGGCTTAATCTTAAGAATATAGTCACAGAAAGACCATCTGAGAAACTTGACTGGATACACGCCAAATATACTATCATTAGAACATTTCCTGATTCTGCCTACTTTTATGAGCTTGACACACCAAAGGGCATACATAATAAATTTCATACATCATTCTTATGACCAGCTAGTGTAGATCCACTCCTGTCTCAAAAAATTGACAATTTACAGCCATCAGGGGTCCTAACTACCTCAGGAGATATAGATTTTGGAATTGAAGAAATTCTAGACTCGAGGATTAAGAAAATAGGGAGAGGAAGCAGAAAGAAAGTACTTGTGAAATGGACAGGATATGCCAAATCACCATGGCATCCTGAAGTTGATTTTCAAGACACTGCTGCACTATATGCTTATGAAATTAAAATAATGACAAGGATATGAGAACAGGATGGGTAATGTCATAGTCTGGGGCCTAAGGCACCTAAGGCTAGGTCATGGATGAACAAGTTAGGTTTGTTACAAGCATTGACCACCCATCATATATATAAGAGAGAACATTCCCACCTCATCATCTTTCTTTAGTTCACAATGTTCAATACAGCCTACAGTACAATTTGAATACAATTCTACTTCCGACTCTTACACAAACATCGAATAATGGCCAACAATTCTTTATCATGAATATCATAATTAGATTTGGCAGAGCTCGCCTTTTTTGAAAAATAAGCAATTTGTCAGAGAATTTGTTGTGAATATCATGAATCTGATCTAGAAGAGTCAGCTCGCGGCAGATGTGTGGTGCCCAACAAGTCTCATACCTGGGATGCCCTGCCGCCACGCAACAACAAGCAACACAACGGAGTTAAGGAGCCATTGCCAAGGAGTGCCTCGTCTCAGAAGTATCATGTCATGAGTACTCATCTTTACTCGACTGATACATGGTTAGTGGGTGATGCAACTGAGTCAAGGAGCTACCACTAGGGAACACAGTATCCCCAGGGTTCTGTGTCATGAATATACGTCTAGGATGTAGTGGCACATAATTGATGAGGGATATGGATGAGTCAAGGAACTCTCCGTCAGAGTTAGAGAAGGACTGGTGTGGTCATGTAGAGTGAGGACAAGCGAGGAAGACATGTATATAACAGAGTAATAACTCTGCAAGTAGATATCATCAATCAATGTCACGGTTTTGAGGGACAAGTTCAGGGGCAACTATGTGGTTGATGGTAGTAAATAATAATTCTAAGGAGAGAACTTCCACTACATCTATCTATTCATTTATATACGTGAAATCTGTGATGGTCTTAAAGTGGCGTTTTATTCAAACTGAACTCAGAGCTAGATACAAATGAAAATCTTAAAGTAACAAGCAGAGACATGACTGAAAGCCTCCTACTTATTTACAAGACTATGATCTCGTTCCCTCATTTCATACCATTCTCAAAATAGATTATGACCTGTCCTCCGACAAACACCAGCATCTCCGTCTATTTTAATTCAGCTTCATTTTAATGTTAGTAATTTTAGTTATTAAAATAGTTATGATGCATGTGGCTTAGATGACTCACGGCTGGTGTTCGAGTCGTCTTGTCTGCAATCTAAATTTTTCATTTAAGAATAGATTTGTATGAACTGGTCCAAGGCCTATACTTGGGTCTAATGAGTAGTGGAGGGGTTCATGACATGTATGATGTTTAATATGGTTGGAAGAGTTCAAGCCTTATTTGTTAGGCAGCAGCCTAATGATAACCAGGTATGAGCCTGTGACAAAATCCTCGTCGCCACGGAGGCTAATCCCTCTCCTTTTCCTATGCTATGGGACTCCCCTAGTGTTCTGACTATGCCTGTAATACAGCACTATCGCGTTATGGTTCGGAAGGATTGTACTCGGTCTCGTATATTCCCAGTCAGTGTAAGCCTATCAACATTTGGTGCAATGCTGTTATGCCGTGCCGCACTGCCGAGTCCGATGCCACGTGAATACCATGTAAATGCCAACGCAAAAGTAGTGTATTGGGTGGCGTTGCACATTAGCGAATTGGTATTTATTAATACCGCCACTCAAATTAGGCCTAAGTTAACCAACATAGGCTACAGGGACCAATTGGCTTACTAGCTGTTACATAGTGTATTGACTAAGTCTCTCCAGTGGTTCCACATATCCCACCCAATTGATCTCAGTGAAGAGTTGTGCGTGGTCTGACGTTCTGTTTAGATGCATACCAACAGTGCTTTTTGCGCTTTGAGCTAAAGGGCCGGACTCGAATAGTAGTTCAAGTACATTTCCATGGTTATTTGTTGCCACATCTAAAGGAGAGAGTAGAACAAGGTTGATTTTATCTGTCCACTCTAAGAATGTTTCAGCACCTGCTGAGGGAGTGCTTGGCCAGGAAGGCTGCCACCTTATGTGATGAAGGTTAAGGTCCCCTATCACAATGGAGCTGCAATTGGTTGGAATTGAGAGTATGAGAAGAGGGTGTAGAGCGCTACCACCAGTAGAGCCTGGCGGTGCATTATAAATGTTGATAATCTGCAAGGCTTTGCCTGAGGGTGATTTCAGACGGAGAGTGAGTATGTGGCTAGAGAGGCTATTATATGTTTGGTCTGCACGTAGTCCAACCCCTTTCTGCTTGTATGAGATCATTCTAGGCTCGGTGGTTGACCAGTCATCAATTGGAGAGAAAGTCCCATATGATGGATGGTACTTTGTAATCTGTCAAGCGCAATCACGAAAAATGTAAGGTTCCTGAATCAAGATAATACCTGCTAATATAGTAAAAACTTCGTTGAAGGCGATCTCATAGAAAAGAGCACCTCTGCCAACGTTCAAGGAAAAGACCGTTAATGGCTTGGGCGAAGCCTTATGGAACTTATAGCTATCCATCATGCTTCCATTTTGTTGTTGCTCTGATCCTCTTTAACGTAAAGGGCATTAAAGGGGTTCTTGGAAATAATTTCTTATGTATCCTGAGCTGTCCTTGATCCGGTAGGGCTGAGGTGTTGAGATAATGACGGCTGGTCACTACGCGCTGCTGAGTTGGCTTAGAGAAGAGGATTTGCACAGCCCGCTTCTGCTTGTCTATGCAAGCGGGCATATGCATTGACGTCTCGGACCGCAATCACCTGAGCTTTGGTCAAAGGTGGTCCTGTAGCTTTAGGCTTGAGCTCACACTTGGCATTGTCAGCTGCATAAGGGCCGTGGCAGTGAACGCATCTACGTGGACAGGTGTGCTCACCTGTGGCTGCGCAGTGGTTACCATGCTCGTTTTCAGTTTGCGTGCCCGAACCATATGGGCGGAACCGGAGGGAGGACGCACAAGTTCGGCTATTATGCTATAGCCAGCATCTATTGCACTGAGCAGCTGTGTAGCGCCGAGTGAGAGTTTTTGTGATTGTACGGCAACCCAACAGAAAGAGAACACGAGGAAGACGTTGGTGAGTTTCTGGAAAGCGAACAATCCATGTTGTTGAGGAGGAGTCTGGATTCTCCTCATTATTACGCGACACAAGGATGGCTACCGGGGCTGTTCCTGCAGCAGCTGAGAGTGCTTCGTGCACAGCAGCGGCTGTGAATGGTTGAAGGCAGTATTTGAGTTCGTCGTTGATGGTTCTGAACGTTCGTGGGACATTATTAATCATATATGAAGTCCACAGTGAAACACTTTTGACTGCAAAATTACCAAAAATACTCGCCTTTGAAATTTATTCCTTAAGTTTAGAGGTTTCTCCGTCTTTAGGGCAAAGGGCGAAACCAGTCTTTGTGGACTGCAGGTTGACTAGAACTCGCCCTTCGTTTCCTAGCTTAGCTTTCAGGTGAGACTGTATAGCGTACGCTGAGAGACCCCTGAGTGTGACGGCTGTCAAGCCTAAGGGTTCCTGTAGCCTACGCTGTCTAGCGCAGGCAATTATACGAAGGGAGGTTCCTGGGAAGATCTTGGATGACAGGGAACCTAGATGATTCACATTGAACCTTGTTGAAACCTACTGAGAGTTCATGAGGGTTACAGAAGTATCAAGGATCTACAGGCGATTGTCGGAGAGTCTGAGTTGACAGGTCATAGAGAGAACCTTATCGAGGAGGGGTATTTCAGTCTGTATATATAGGTAGTCATTAAGTATAGAAATTCTCTCTTCAGAGAATTATAATTAAAATATTGTACCTACAACATTGCTCATGCATTTTGTAATGAAACCGTGACACTGAGCTTGTCTCCATCAGGCATGCAGACAAACAGACAATTGTCAGTGCGATGTTGTTGCAGTCGTGTTTTTAGGCTAGGACGTGCTGGATCTCTACAACTATGTATATTTTCGGTGTGGATACCCCGGGGTCGGCGAGCCACCTTGGCGTATAATAAAGTCTCCGGCACTTGCGGAGTTCGACAAGGCTCAGGAATTGGTTCAATTTTTGAACCAGTTTTCCGCTTGTGTAGGCATCAAAGTGATGGGTAACAACTTCAGCTAGATCTTTACAGAAGTTTTTGAGGGCCAAACGTTGATAAACAGGGAGTGAGTTGTGACTAGGTGCGGCCCAATGATTGTCCAACTTGGAGACAATACTACCAAATAATGATTCAGCTTCCTTCGCTCGGATTTCTGCAGCTGCAACATTTCTTCCCAGTGCCATTCTAAAAGAGTCAGATGGGTTGGGCGCGTCAAACAGGTCATCTGTAGGTTCGTCTGGGAGCTCGTCATATTCTAGAGTAATGCTATAGTCGTAAGGAGTTTGGCTGGGGCCAGGGTCGTCGAGGTCTTGATTTGGATGATTGGAGGGATAGGTGGGAGGGCGTTGAGCCTGTAGCTCCCACATTGGCAGACGCGCCGATTGTATGACGCGGATTTCTTTTATGCGCGGCTTAGCAATGCTGGATATATTCTGCCAAGGCTTTAGAATAGTGTGGGTGGAAGGAGAAATGTTTGTGAGAGGGGGGATCTTTATTGGAGCCAGAGTTAATTTAACAAAGAGGTATGTAACTAGATTCAAAGTTTTTGTGTGAATAATGTATATAGTGTGTTGTATATGTGTAGAGCACATTGATTAGGAAATTACTGAAGTGAAACTACATATAGAATTTGTAGTCACGTGTGTACCAACCACACGACCCACTTGATAGCCCCAATGTCAAATTGGAGCGTAGGCGTTTGACCTGAGGCGGAATAGAATGGCAAGAAGGGGTCGGATGGATCGCGAGAGATGACTAAAGATCTACTGGAGATAATTTGGAGAACTAAAGGTTTAAAAATTGGTAATATAAGTGTCTAAAGAGTCTAAAGGTACGAGCAAATACTAATGGTGACTAAAGGTGCTAAAGGTAACTAGAGGTGACTATAGGTGACCAGAGGTGATCCGAAGGTGGTGGCTATGACAGAAGACTAAGCGTAAAGAACTCTATGCCTCCAGACCAAACCATTGTATATATACCTGCCTTCCTTTCACTAGCTCATCATAACATAGACCTTAACATAATATCAACATGATACCATGTGCCAAGAACTGTCCTGTTGTCATAGCAACATATGAAGAAAGGTAAAATTATATCCTAAAGAAAGGATCGAAAGAGGAATCCTTACACCCAATTATTCTAAATTTCAATAGTTTATTTTTGTGTATTAACATACTAGGCGATGGGCACCCTTTGCAATTTCTCAAGGAGCTTACTAGTAACGATACGTAGGGCACGAAGAGATATTGAGTATGACTATAGGACAGCATTTAAGTGGTCTTCTGTAAGGAAGAGAGATGTGAAGTGGTACAATATGTGTACAAAATGTAAGAAGACGTTACGTAAAGAGAGAACCCTCCCACGCCTATCAGACTATATACAGGATATTACCACTAGCACTTCAGTACGTGAGTCGATATGATCACTACTTGTTTACTACCAGACTACCTTTACCTTTCATAACATGGTCATAGACTTCATAGGACAATAAATACATACCTTTACCTTTCTAGACCCTTGCATCCACACTCATTGCCTAGCTTACCAAGATCAAGCACTACCGTAATAGCCTATTGTCACAAAGACTGAGTCGAAAATAAAACAGATTAATTATATCCTACTGCTTATCCATGAAGCACTTTCATAGTGGCTTGAGCACGAGTGGACCTGGGCTAGATGAGGTTAATTTCCACCGAGTATATAAACCTCGCCCTACCTAAATGACCGGATCACCTCAGACTTCACCCATATGTTAAATCATATGAAGCCCAACCGTCTAGAGAACCCGACTTTTACGCGCCACAGCGTAACTTCCTTCTCAGACTTGGCCACCCGGCTTCCGAGCTCTTGAAACCTTCCCGATCTCTTCATTCGAGACTTCCTCGGTTTTTCTTCTTTTTTTTTCTCTCTTACAGCTTCTCTTTCATATTTTTACACATATCGTCTTCTTAGAAACTTAGTAAACTATCCATCCCTCTTGCCTTGCCCCTAGGCTTGGAGGCCAGATTTATGCTGAAGATCTCAGGACTGAGGCACCAATACCTCAGCCTTTGTCGAATTCTTTGGTTTATAAGTTGGCGAAATGTCGTACGTATCTTGTTAGTCCTCTTAGCCGAGGTTTAATCGCATTTAAGGCCGTTTTTTCGGCCATAAATTCACAGTGCAGGATAGTTACGGAGAAATAGATGTCTTCTAGTATCTTCGAATTTGATTTTGAATTCTAGATTCTGGAATTCTTCGGTATGTTGCAAGATGATTTTGGACAGAGTCGCGAGGTGAGTCTAACTGGGAAAGACCTTCAAAGAAAAATCGAGATGGCGAAAAATATCAGTTGTCTCAAAAGGAACTTACATGGATTCAATCCTGCTAGCCTTTTCATATTTTTGGTAAAAATGTTTAATTTCATTGGGTTATGGTGTCGTGGAATCCCTGCAGGTCGGGTTTTCGACCAAAAACTTGCCAACGCATTTCCGTCCCACTGCCATCCCGATGGAAACTTTCAAGTCGACCCCATACCGTAATTGAATCTCGACTCTGGGGAAACATTTCACCTTCAGGTTCGCATAGGGTACCATTGACAGGTGTTTAGCCCTCGTCCTGCCAATATTGGTAGTGTTTTTAGGCCGCGCAAATGATTAAGGCCTACGTGCAGCCATCTTCGCTGGTTCCATCAGTCCCATGCTCACAGTAGACTTTTAGCTTTTGATTATGATCGAAACAGAAAAAATAATCTGATGAGAGCCGCATATTTGAAAGTTTCATGCTTACCACAATGATCAATCTGTCTCACGTTCCTGGCAGAGAATTTTGGGTATCTCGCAAACGAATACTCTGATCAAAATTATCTTCTTTGCCCAGAATTCTTGGGAATACGAGATTAATTTATCCTAGATAGCTTTACGATACTAAGCACTTTTCTACGCCTCGAACGTCTTCTTTCCTATTAAAAGCACCAGGAACTGAAATTCGGAACAGTAATTCACTACCAGTCGAAGAAATTCAGCTAACTTTGGCTACCACAAACCGTCTTCCAGACATTCGCTCGAGGTATGAAATGAGTTTTTTGTCCTCTAGTTTCTCTAATTGAGGCCGCTTGAATTTTCAATGGTTCATCTCTTTACGATTCATGCGGAGTCTAGCTTATCTACTTGCCATTCATTTCACAGGTTAAAGCCGATGTTGCGCCGATATTTAGTAAGACTTGGTCAATATTTAGGAGTAGGAGGTAGCTTAGTCACCAAAAATTTTGGAGACGATGTAAGTTTGTCAAAGTTTTATTAACACCAAATTTCGTTTGGCGGTAAATTAGATTTTTTTATTTTATTTATTGCTGTTTAATACTCTATTTGGTATCTAGTTAATAGCACCGTAAAGACTTTGAAATACTTTGACGAGGAAAAATCCCTGAAGCCATAACCTATTATTGTACCACCGAGGTATGGTCCAGCATCATTCACAGGATGTTCCTTTGTTCCATCTAGTCCAGTCTAGCAAAAATATAACTATCCTACCTATGTAGATGTCTCTCAGCAGGTATGCAGAAGAATCTTTTCACCCTATTTTTCTGTTCTTCCCTTTGTTTGGATTGCTAGAACTGGCAGTGTCGTAGGCCCTGGTATGTTGAGGACCTGCACTGTATTTGCAGCCACTTTTCGTGGTGGACCAAGTTCTCTCTTTGATATGTAAACTTTCTTGCTGTTAACTAGAGTGAGTCCCGGATAATTTTTTATTTACAATTTTAGTGATAATCCCCCGTAATATCTCCTCCGTTTGCTTTAAGAGCCCGAAGTAGAACCCCTGAACACTCTCCTAATGGTCCTGGGAGGCCTGAAATACCTTTTCTTTACCGCAGTCTATGCAATAAACTTTTTCCCTTGGTCAATCCAGAGTCTTGTAAACATTAATGCACTTATCACACGACCTCCGCAATATCTTCCGCCGTGATGGTTATTTCATCGTTGTCGTCACATAGTGGATAATCCAAATCTTTTTATTTTTTTATTTGTTACTTTTGTATTGTTAATGTTAGGGTTGTTAGTGTTAAAGAGCCTCTATGGTCGTGTGTCGTAGTTACTGTTTAGGAAGCGTCAGGACGGCTTGATTTCTTCGGGCCAGCTCCAAGATACTCAATTTTGTGGCGGGGCAGATAAGCCCAGTTGAAAAGCGCGAACATCATAATACTTTTACCTGACAAGACCACCTTTCTTTTTTTTCCATCTTAATTTATTTGCAGCAATAGGCGATATTTAGTAAAGTTGCACTACAGTACACTATCTAGAGAGGAACATAAAATTTATTACTAGTAGCCTGGTTACCTAACAAACTCGATAAAAGAGATCGCTGATTCGAGTCTAGCAAGCCTAGACAAATATCTTCTAGGATTTGTGATATTGCCTAGGCTATGCTAGGCGAAAGCCAGCAGTGGGCAAGCATACTGACATCTCTTTTTTTTTTGCATCAGATTTTGATTGCGTATGCAGCTATCTAGCTATGACACAATATCAGAGAAAAGTACAGAAAAGATGACTCAGTTTATAATAGGAGCACTCATGCCTCGGATTTCATTTGCAAGTACCACTGCAAAGTTATGGTGGCTTTTTCTTCACCCCAAGTCAACCCTCATCCGTGAGTACCCACCCAGGGGAACGTCTCAAAAACCCTGAGTTATCCAGACATGCCTCCGTCATCCGTCAACTTTCCTCCTCGCGAAATGTAATCTGAGATGTCTCCTTCCCAAGTGGAGTAGGTGCCTAGGCTACTCAAATTATACCAGAGAACACCACCAGGAGGCGGACCACAACACCTTCCATCGTTTGCTTGTGTTTATAGTGTCAGCTGCACTCTCGCAAGTGAAGTCATGGCGCGCACAAAGCTCAATTCGTAAAACTCTTTCCAAAATTCGAAATTTCACGCCCGTCGAGAATGTATCCCTCTTCTGCATCATCTTGTAAACTTGTCCTGATCCCTCTCACGTCCGTCCCAAAGAGCTATCTCCCAAAATTGTGCTCCACGCTTTGCTTCCTCCGTCGGATGTAAATATCGGCGTGGGCGTGTATTTGGTGACCGGCTGAGGCCAGAGAAAGTCGACGAGAGGTGTGGTCATTGAAATGAGGATGTACTATGTCGTACTTGTAGACTTGATGAAGCTTAGTTGAGAATTGGACTCTTTGGGAGTGAAAGATTGACATGGTGGAGTAATTTGAATTTTTGCCTCGTGGGCCAACTTCTTTGATATTGCGAAATTTGACTGAACTTGGCTCTGGGAGAATATTTCACTCCCAGGTTCGTAGAGAGCACCACTGACAGGTGTTCAGTCTTGCCCTCCATACTGACATCTCGTATTAGGAGTTGGATGTTTTAGAAACAA